GGTGTGGGGAGAGGAGACCACTAATGGAAAGGGGGGCAGAGGAGAGCAGAGACCACTAATGGAAAGTCGGGGAGAAAAGGAGATCACTAAGGGAGGTGGGGGAGAGAGGAGAGACCACTAAGGGGCAGGGGAGATCTCTAAGGAATGGAAGGGCGAGCTCTATAGGACAGGGGGCAGGACCGGGAGCTCTTTCGCGCGCGCGCACACACACACAATGCATCCCTATACACACAAACACAACATGCTTCCCTTACACACAGAGAAACACACAATGCAACCCTTACACATAAAGACAATGCATCCTTTGCACATATACATAGAAACACAATGCATCCCTTACACACACACACACAGAAACACAATGCATCTCTTACACACTCAACGCACCCCTTACAGACACACACACACTGCATCTCTTACATACACAGAAACACACTTTGCATCCCTTATGCATACAAACACAGATTCACACAATACAACCCTTACACACACCTTCCACTACACACAAACACACTGCTTCCACTACACACAAACACACTGCATCACCTACACAAACTGGTATCCCTATACACTACATTCCATAAGCACACACATTAGATCCTCTACAGTAACACAACACATCCCCTACACACTCCACTCCCTGTGAGCGAACTCATGGGTGGAACATGTAGGTGGACTTATGGGTGGGCTTTAAAAAAAAAAAAAAACTTAATTTAGATTTAGTTTTGGTGCTTGGAGTGCTCCTTTAAGGTAGATTTTATTGGAAAACCATACGATTCAGCTAACACACGATCCTTTTTCAAGCTTTCATGTTTAAGCAAAAAAGACAGAATCTTTATGAAATACTCTGAATACGTCACTGAAATTCCAAACCAGTCAAAAGATATACTGAGAAACTAAGGACTGCTTTGTCTCAATATTTTTTCTATGCTTGACAAAAAGGCATTGTTACTTTTTGTCATACTCGTCATTTTCCCTGCCATCACTAGTGACTGCTGTATTGGTAAAAAAGTTATTTTGATGGATTATTCCGTGGTCTTGCCAAAGTCATAGCAGGAAAACACCACACAAGTAGAAAGTAAATTTTTAATTCAGAGGGAGTATTGTACTGCCACCATATTAAAAAAAATAAAAAATAAAAAAAAATTACGGTGAGTAAAAATTTCATTTTTCCCACTAGCTGGGCATTACGCCACAACTGCTTGAAGCACCTTACGACCCAAATGCAGCTTCAGATGATGAGAATAGATCTAGCCTGTGTGCCTGATAAAGGTGTTGAATGATGACCAAGAAGCATAGCCTTGCAAATTTCTTCGGGCGAAGAGAGAGCCTTTTCTGCCCATGATGTGGACATTGCTCTTGTGGAATGTGCTTTAAAAGAGGTAGGTATAGAAAGGTTACTGGAAGCATACGCCATCTTGATTGTATCAATCAACGAACGAGAGATAGAATTAAGAGAGAGGCTCTTTCCCCTTTAAATTTTACTTGGAAATTGACAAACAGGTGATCAGATTTTCTGTAATCGCCAGTTCTTGAAAGGTAGATCTGTAAAGCTCTAACAGCCAATTTATGCCATTTTAGTTCATGCGGCGAGGTAGTATTGTTGCAGAAGGAAGGTAAATCGATGGGCTGCTTAGCAACTCTATAAGCGTCAACATTCAGAAGGAATGAAAGCTTAGGATGGAGAACTACCTTATCTTGATGGAATTTAATGAATTCTTCCGATAAAGAGCCTGAAGTTTACCTACTCTTTTGGCAGAGGTGATGGCCACCACGAATGCTGTCTTGAGTGTTAGATTCTTCAATGGGACCTTCTCCAAAGGTTCAAAAGGAGGTTCACAGAGAGCTTGCAGGACTGAAGAAAGATCCCAGGAGAGAAAATATGACTTCCTGGGTGGTCTAAGAAGCCGTACTGCTTTGAAGAATCTCCTAATTAGAACATGCAATGCTAAATCCTTCACAAAAAAAACAAACACACAACTCAAGGCAGATAGTTGGACCTTCAAAGTGGGAACAATCAGACCTCTTGTGAAGCCCATCCTGAAGGAAGTGTAAAATAG